CGCGATTATTTCAGAGTGTGCCTTAGGGAAGTGAAAACATTTGATGGAAAGCATCAGAATTTAAAAGTGGCAAGTTTGACCAGAATAGTTTTACTCTATAGAAACATATGTAGAAATGTTTTGGTTTTGTTTATGGAATGGTTTTCTCCGTACAAATGCTGAAGAAATACGAATCAGGAACTTTTAGCTTGATTATGGGATAAGTGTGTCAAGCCTTCAAACTTCTGTCCACCTGAACAAGAGCAGTTTTCCACTTTTGAACGGTTGTTTTCAGCCGAATTGTTCAAAACTGACTGCCCTTTTACTCCAAGGACTGGCTGGCATTTACACACAGTGGCGTTCAACTCACATTTCAAGGAAAATTGTTGTTTGAAAATGGCGGAGCTCCTCAGGCACAAGACAATTTTGCCTTTTGCAAGGTGAGTCAAGGGTCCATTTTCTGTAGGGTAACACAAGAACACCTCTCAAGTGACAGGGAGAAAGCAATTTAAGCCAAGTAATATTAGTGTTTGATATTCGCTCTGTTCTTTAATACTCAGTTCTAGCGATGTTAACTTTTTCTTTACAGGTACACAATTTTACTAAAGAGCTTTATGGACTCCCTGTAGTCATAGTTACAGTAAATCATCTTTACGATAGCAAGAATGTGTATTCCATCAAGCCAGAGAACAATGTTCTTAATACTTGGATTGAGGTAAAGTGTTACAACCCAGCCCTCTATGAACATAACTTTTCTTTAGATCATTTTAAAGACCATTTTTTCCACAGAAATCTTTCATGTTCAGAGTTTGAACTCTCAGACCTTACCTGAGATACAAGCCTAATACATTTCACTTTTAAACATTCAAAAATCACAATACATCTAATGCCTACCATTATCACCTCGTTTTTTAAGCCAATAACCTTTTATTCTTAATTCTAGCTCAACCAAACCTCTCTACTTCAGTTTCTGATATCTTACAGAATCACAGCTATTAAAGTATTTTCCACTGTCACTGCCAATCATCCGATTGATGTTTCTTTACAACAGGGAATAACTATCTCATCGTTCCGTGTTTGTGTAAAAGACTTGGCTGGAATGGAAAGTCAACACGACCCTGTTACCGTTGATTATGCCGTTGTAGGAGGTAGAGATAATTCATTTAGGCCATGTCGCGTATGCTAAGTTATCAGGTGGAATGGAATTGCTGCGTAGGTAGGGGAGAAAAGCGAAAAAGAAAAGCGTTTTCTTTTATCATAATTCAATGCTTTAAGAGAAATCATAATTGCCTATTTGATACAATGCATAATAAAAGCACTTAACATAAAGGTAATTACACTATATATATATCTATATATATATAGATATATATATATAAAATACAGTTTATTCTCCATTTATAGCACTTTGTTACCTGCGAAATCCTCTCTAAACCCAATGCACTTCTTTCAGTTATATTACAATGCTTAACACGACAAACATTATTAAGTAAAATAAAGGAAGTAATAATTAACCAAACTTGATAAGAACTCAAGATTTAATTTCTTGCTTTGATAAAATCAGGAGTTTCTAATGTTGTCTTAGATGAGCGATGTGATGTTTTGATGTCAGTTCCTACGAGAAATTTCCAAAATATACCAACGAAAAGAAAAGGATCACTGTGGGATCCGCATACCTAGGGCTTCTATTCTAGTACCAATTCTGACGTCTTTGTTCAAATCTTGTTGCTATTTGTATTTTGTAGATCTTGATCCTTGCATCAATGTTTCTTGTAACTATTTTGCTGTCTGCAAGGCATTTGGACCCAAAGACGCCAGGTGCATATGCGTGGATAATTGTCCATCGTACGACGAGCCTGTGTGTTCATCCAATGGAACAACATACGATAACGAGTGCATCTTTCAGAGAGAAATGTGCCGCTTAAAGGCTAATTTTACCCTGTATCATCCGGATGATTGTACAGGTAATTCGAGTTGAAGTGAAGACAATATCTCCATTTGAAAGCAGATTTTAAGGCGATAAACTGAGAGAAATATTACAGCGCATACTAGTTTCAAAAGTGAAACAATTTGACAACGGTTAATAAAATGAAGTTTTCAAAACAGTTAACAAACAGTTTTGGTTGTCAAATATTGAATTTACCAATGCGAAAACATTCTNGTTTAATACTTTGGTGTTAAAGCGAGCGCATTTGATCCAGTTAACTACAGCAACAACAACAACAACAACAACAACAAATTTTATTTAAGCTTAATACGGAAAATTACAGTGCTTGGGCCCGCAAGTAGCTAGGACTATTCGAGGCGGGTACAAGAGAGGAAAATAAAAAAAAGAATAAAAGAATTCTATAGAAAATGAATATGTATAACTCTTGGATCAGCGAAGAACATTAGCCTAAGGGCTCTCTTTTGAAGAACTAGTAGTTTATGAAGATGCGCTTCAGCAGTGTGACCCCAAGCACAAATGCCATAGCTGATATAGGGTAAGATTAAAGAGCAGTATAAGGTGAGAAGTACATGACGGCGAACAAAATGTCTGAGCTTGGCGATAATTCCGATTGTTTTACTGACTTTCTGGCTAATGTAATCTACATGAATTTTCCATGAAAGATTCGAATCTATGAGTACACCAAGATATCTAATGCAGTCTTTCAATTGTAACACTCGACAGGTGTTTGAATTGCTATTTACCATTTTAATATCAGGATAAAAAGAAATACTCTTTTGGTGTGAGCGAAAGATAATATAGTTGGTTTTTTCGCTGTTCAAGGTTAATTTATTGACAGCTAGCCACGAGGAAACTTTGTTAAGTTCTTCGTTAATCTCAGATTCAAGTATTTTGAGATCACCGTTAGCATAAATTGAACTAGTATCATCGGCGAACAAGTAAAACTAAAGTTTATTTGAAGACTTATATATATATCATTTATATGCAAGAGAAAAAGTAAGGGTCCCAGTACAGAACCTTGGGGTACTCCACAGAGGGTTTGATGAGCATCAGATAACTGTGAATGAAAAGCTCAAAATTAACGGGAAAAATGGAGGAAATCTAAGCTAATTGACGTCTTGTGTCACTATAAAATGTTTCAATACTTAACGATCGGACAATTTTGCGAAACGTACAACTTGCGAGTATTTTTTCGGTCTTGTTTTTTCGGGGTCTGAGTTTTCGGCGTCTGAGTTTTCGGGGTGTTAGTTTTCGGGGTCTGAGTTTTCGGGTCTGAGTTTTCGTGACACCCCAATGGGTGTCACGAAAACTCAGACCCCGAAAAAACAAGGCCGAAAAAATACTCGTATTAAAACATTTAAGAGTGACACAAGACTTCATTTAGCTTAGATTTCCTCCATTTTTCCCGTTAATTTTCGCTCTAACACCAAAGTAGTAAACTGTGGCGTGATTTTGACGAGCCAATAGGGACGTTTGTTTACTCTTTTGTGCTTCGTCGCACAGATCCTTGTCGACGCTCTGTTAAAATTCTTAAATATTTCGCGACAGTAATGGAGACAAACAGAGACTCGGCCCACCAGTCACAAAACGAAGACAATTTTGCGACCCTTGGGCTAGAGTTCTTAAATGAGGCAGAAAAAGAGTGGATCTATCGAGCCATCGATCGGCCGCAGCAACGGTTTTCGGCATGGGTAAATTTGTATTATGAAACCTCTTTGATCTGTGCTCTACTCGTATGCAGTCGAAGTTCTCTTAAGCGGACACCCTTGAGGAGCGAAAAAGGTGGCCGTAAAAAGTGGCCTAAAATCTCTCAATATACACAAGTAGCCCAAGCTCACTACTACAAAAGCGGACGTGACTCTTACCGTGTTGCGCAACGTTTTATATTTATAAAGGTTTGTATGGGATGTTATCGGTTTGCCTTAAAAGAGAGAAAAAAATGTCTTGTTTTGAAATAAAATGAGCTTACCTTATTGCCTTGTTGTTTTCTTTGTTGATTCCGAGCGTCTCAGGCCATTTTGAAGCGTTTTCGGCGAGTTAGCGCTTTGTTGGTGTTCAACTGCTTAAAACTCTTTTGGAATGATGTTCAGTCGAAGTTACACAGCACCAACTAAAAATGAATAACTGCGGTCAAATGTGATACCACGACTCGTCTACTCGGCCCACTTCGTGAAAACTGTAGGAAATGTGAACTTAGGACAATAACTATTAAGGGGACTGTAACAAGTATGGTTTATCATATGTTTATACTCGCAAAGAAAAGCACATTTTCTCGGGAATAAGTACAAAAATATGTAAGTTTTTATGGGATCGATAATGGAAAGATTTGTATATCTCTCCACAAAAAAAAAATGTGCTCGACAAACCAAATGAATCTAGAGTTGCTTGAATGATATTAAGGATATATATGTTGAGCACATATTAAGACAGATTTGGATGCTACGTGCAAAACGGGGGATTTGTTATTTATTTCTGTTAGTGGTACGTGTATGCCCCGTTCTCATTTCACGTTGGGAATATGGAATGCAGTTTGAACATGTCACACAACATGTTNTCTACCCGACATACAAAATAAGTACCCCAGAGCAGAGTAACTCGATGGGTTTGCTCATTTCAGTTTTCAATTGCTCTCATGCGATGATTCAACTAATCTTCTAAAGAAAAAGATCTTTTAGAAACATAGAGGTATTGTCAGGTGCATTCTTAGCTACTTTGTGTTCAATAGAATTTTTGCTGTTTTGTTTTGTTTTCCTTTAATTACTTTGAATAGGATGTTGTCTTTAAGAAGCCCTACAACGACTCCCCAGCCATTCTGGTATCTGCCAACCACTCAACGAATGGAGGAAACCTTAATCCAATATATAACTCCATATCAGCTTGGGCTGAGGCAAGTTATGTCTGATCTTTGCTCAAAATGGTGCAATGTGGGTACAAAAGGATATCAATTTTGAAGTTGACTTTTATCCACTGAACTCTGTAAACAATTCGCTTTGTTTTTACATTACCGCTAAGCTTTTTACGGCTCTCTAACTGTGATCTTCTTAGCCGTTAGATTGCATTCCTCTTTGCCTTTGTAGTACATCAACAAGACTGGCTTCAGAGCATGCGTGAAGGAGTTATTTGTCAACCAACATGATCCTCTCTCAGTTTCATATGCAGTTATGCCAGGTTGGGTATATCACGTCTGATACATAGCAAGCTTTGATGATTAAATAAAACAAATCTTTTGCAATTAATCTGACCTAAATTTTTCCTAAACGTAAATTGCTACTCGAAAGGGAGGAAGGTATAAACTAATGTATGAGTGTACCAGTAAATGGACGTTTGATGGCTTGTTTCAAATTTTCACCATCAATTTGTTGATGAAACGACTGCTATCGATAAAGACATGATGATGTAGTGAACAAACTAACAATTACTCTATAATTTTATAACAATAATGAACAACACTCTTTCATACGATAATATTTTTTAACAGAGTTCCAGTATGCTATTTGTTAAGATATTCAAGTTCAAACGAACTTTTGTTGTTTCTACCTAACTCAGATGTGTGTGAGCCAGGTTGGAGTTTCTACAATGGCTCCTGTTACTACACCAGTGATACTTGTAAGACATGGTCCAAAGCCAGTAGAATCTGCAGAGGCATGGGTGCTAACTTACCCGCTATCGAAAGTCAAGAAGAGAATGTCTACATTCAACACAGACACAATGGCGAAAAGGCCTGGATTGGTTTGAATGACATTGCCACAGAGGGATTGTTCACCTGGGTGGATGGGTGTCCAGATAAATTCCGATACTGGGCGGAGAGTCAACCTAATGACTTTCGGGGGGAGGACTGCGTACACAGTCTTCTTCCTAGTCATGGATACATGTGGAATGACGTGGATTGCTCAACTTGTCACCAATATACATGTAAAAAAGGTTCGGAGATATTTTGTTACGTGCATATTTTGGCAGCACACTTTCCTAGCCCTATAAATGAGATATGCAACAGGGATGGATGAGGAAATTAATTGACTCCCATTTTATCTTTCTGTTTGCCCCTTGCGACTGTGATCTTAATTTAAAGGTGGTTCAAAATGGTGTTACCATTATAAACGAACAATTTTTTCAATGGATTGTGATTTGTTTCTTTGAAAATGGTGTTTAATATAGAATATTCAATCACCTCCTTACAATTTGCGATTATTTTTTTGACGTTTGAGGTTATCATGGCTGCACTTAAAATTAGCACGAATACTGTTTACTGTTTACTGTTTACTTTAGCTTCTCGTAATTCAAAATGAGTATGATGATCCCCCATGAATATTCTTTGTCGTTAATAAAAGCATTTGATATTGCCAGATTATGATGAATGCAGTAGCTC